GCAGTGGTTAGAGTTGCTGGGTGGCCGGTAAGGGACAGACGTGAGCAGTTGTCCCCCTCTCCCATTGCCCTGGCCCTGATTGTGGCTGCTCATGACCAAGGCATCTCCCCTGGGGTCTCAGGGGACTGGGGGTTGAGGAGGGGATACTGGGACCTGTCTGCCTGGGCCTCATCCAGGGAGGGAAGAGGACAAGTGCTTGGGGACACTTCCCAAGCACTGCTGTCAGCTGGGCAGGCTCCCAGACACAGCCTCGTTCATTTCATTCTCACAATGACCCAGAAGAGACAACCTCATCGTGGCATCTCGGCATATGGTAGATGGAGACACTGAGGCCTGCCTGAGCGCCCCCTACTGGTGTCCCCCATCCCCACACCTGGGCCTTCCCCTGGAGCCACAGGTGACAGAGTGGTTGGGATCATGGGCTTCAGAACCGGGCAGGCTGAACCTAAATCCTTTAATTTTTTAATTAAAATCAAAAAAATTATTTTTCGAGACAGAGTGTCACTCTGTCGCTCAGGCTGGAGTGTCATGGTGCAATCCCAGCTCACTGCAACCTCTGCCTCCCAGGTTCAAGCGAATCTCCTGCCTCAGCCTCCCAAGTTGTTGGGATTACAGGCGCCCGCCACCGTGCCCAGCTAATACTTTTGTGGTTTTTTTTTTTTTTTTTTTTTTTTTTGTTTTCTTGAGACAGAGTTTCGCTCTTGTTACCCAGGCTGGAGTGCAGTGGCGCAATCTCGGCTCACTGCAACCTCCGCCTCCCGGGTTCAGGCAATTCTCCTGCCTCAGCCTCCTGAGTAGCTGGGATTACAGGCATGCACCACCATGCCCAGCTAATTTTTTGTATTTTTAGTAGAGACGGGGTTTCACCATGTTGACCAGGATGGTCTCGATCTCTTGACCTCGTGATCCACCCGCCTCGGCCTCCCACAGTGCTGGGATTACAGGCTTGAGCCACCGCACCCGGCCTACTTTTGTGTTTTTTTAGTAGAGACAGGGTTTTACCGTGTTAGCCGGGCTGGCCTCGAACTCCAAGTGATCTGCTCTGCGCAGCCTCCCTAAGTGCTGAGATGACACATACTTAAATTATTATTAATATTATTTTTTCAGAGACAGGGTGTTGCCTTGTCACCCAGGCTGGAGTGTGCTCGTGCTATCAAAGCTCACTGCAGCCTTGACCTCCCGGGCTCCAGTGATCCTCCTGACTCAGCCTCCCGAGTAGCTGAGACCACAGGTGCAAGCCGCAGAACCCAGCTCCGGGCCTGAATCCTGAACTGCCCACTTCCTGGCTGAGTGACCTTAGACAAATGACTAGACTTCTTAGGACCTCAGTTTCCCCCTCTGGAAAGGGAGGGTGATAATAGAGAAACGTTCTAGGAGCAGTGTGAAGAATAAATGTGCTAATTCACATAAGACATTTGGAACGGAGCCTAAGAAACGTTCTCTCTGCTGGCGTCAATACCGTAATAATCACGGTCCTGATGTCATCAGTGCAAACCGCTGAGCAGCCCTGAGATTGAGGACTTCTCCGCATTACGCGGGTGAGGAAACTGAGGCCCGGGGAGTGAGTGACTTTGGTTTGCTCATCAAGCATCAATAGAGCGTGCTGTCTGCGCCAGGCCCCGGTCCCACCCTAGGACACACTGCGAACTGGACAAAACCCCAGGCCCCGACATACACATGAGTCCAAAGCGGGGTCACTGCGGGCTGGGAAATATGTACGCAGATTCAAACGCGAAGGGGTGGGGGCGTCGTTAGGATGAAGAGGTCAGGTGCGGCTGACATTTGAGCTACAACCTAGACAGTAAGGACTCTGGTGGAACCTGGGTCGTATCCACCCAGGCATAGCAAACAGCAAGGACCAGGCTGGGAGCGGGGCCTGGCGAGTCTGAGGAGTGGCAGGGAGCCAAGGAGGCTGGCCCGAGGGCGCGGTGTGGAGGCCCCCGAAGCAAAACAGGCACCCTTGATTGTGTGACACCCTGTCCCCACTCCTCACTGTGGGGGCACTTCCCCTAAAGAGCTTATAAAGAAACAATCAGCCTGCTTTAGGCATGCGCCTACAGACCCAGCTATCAGGAGACCGAGGTGGGAGGCTGGCTTGAGCCCAGGAGGCTGAGGCTGCCGTGAGCTATGATTGTTCCACCTCAGGCAATAGACCTTGTCTCAAAAAAAAACAAAAACAGGCCAGGCATGGTTGCCCACACGTGTAATGCCAGCACTTCGGGAGACCAAGGCAGGAAGCTCACGTGAGCCCAGGAGTTTGAAACCAGCTTGGGCACAGGCCTGTGGTCCTAGCTACTTGGCTGAGGTGGGAAGATCTCTTGGGCCCCAGAGATCAAGGCTGCAGTGAGCCATGATTGGGCCACTGTAGTCCAGCTTGAGTGACAGAGTGACACCCTGTCTCAAAAAAAAAAAAAAAAAA